GGAGTTCCACAAGCTCCACAGTTCTAAAACAATGTCCAGGATGAAATATGTAAATATATGATAGAACATTAGTATAATACAAGATTTTGCATTTTTATTGTAATAAACAACATGGTAAACAATAAAATGATAATAAACTTTAGTGCGGTACTTGAGATTATATAAATACAATATATACAGTTTGGGTCTCTCAGGCCCCAAATGTTAGTAGGAAAAGAAAAAAATTGGAAAAGAAAAGAAAAAACTATAAAAACCGCTAGAAAAAAAAAAAAATAAAGTAAATGCGCGTAGGTGGAATTCGTCGATGTGCCGCCACCACATCATTTGGACAAACTTCTTGGCACTGGTCTCGTAAGTACGATCAGAAAATTTTTTTTTGTCTTAATACCTCACAAAATAGCTCCTTTAATTCTGTAAAAAAAACCTTTTTTTTTTTTTTTTTTTTTCTTTTTTTTTTTTTTTTTTTTTTTTCAAAATTTCTTTGGACACTGAGCAACCACTTCAGATTTTTGCCTTGACCCTGAAGGGTTAAATATGCATCTTCGAGACTAATAAACACTCTATATTTTAACATGTACCTCATGCCACAAGTGTGTAAGTTTATTTAGTACAGGTAGCACAATATAATTATCACTTACGTATATATAGAAAAATTAAATAACTTAAACACTTGAAAATTTGGAAATTTCCAGACATAAATTGAGAATCGAGCTTACAGAGAATTAAATGCATAGAAAGTCAAATTGGGGGGAGCTGTACATAGAATTTGGTCATAATTTTGAAATCTCGCATAGCAAACGCATCAGCGAAATTCCTAAAGCGGGGGGGCCCTACTGTAATATAATTTTTTGTAATCCAACTCTACATGTCAGATTTATATTTTGCTAGTTTATTTTTTAATTAAGTTTTAAATAAATTAATTGTAATACACTAGTTTGCCTATATAGAATAATAATTAGAAGCCAATTTATATATCATATGCATTTCTTTGAAAATACGTAACACTTATTGTATTTCATTTATTACCTTCAAATACCAACCACTGATGGCCAAATTAACCTGGTTGAGGCCATCAGTATTTTAATAGAGGAATCCATCAACAACCTGAGAAAACTGTCGGAGGCCCAAATCTGCAGATCTTCAGCAAAGTGTGCCACTATTTTGCGCCTACTCAAGTTACCTCACTCATGTTGCCTGTTCACAGATCCTGTAAATACATACATAAACTAATAAGAATATGCATCTAATCTCATCATAAATATCTTCTCCAAAAAGAATTATGCATCCAGCAAAATCTCATCATAGATGATTATTCCTGGATGTAATAATAAAAATGACTATATCTTGCTACAGATAAATTTTCCTTAAACGAATTTCCCTTTAAAATAATTCTTTAAAACAAAACTGAATACGGTAAAACCTCTCATTAACAGATTCGCAGTTTCAGTCAAAAAAGTGACCAAACGTGAGAAGCAATCAGACAAAATGGAAAAATATCCCTGTAATTCTGGATTTTGTCCCATTAGCAACTTATTTTACTGATGACCTTGTAAATATTCGATCTCGTTAATAGATTTTACCTAATCATTCATACTTTGGTTTGTACCTTTTTAATGCATGTATAAAGCCATCCAATTATTTGTAATAATTGGTGAAAAACTTAAAGATTAATTATTTGCATTGTGTTAGCATGGGAGTGGTTTTCCAGGCTAATGAGGAGGAAAGAGACGGTAGATGGATAACCACCAAGCCGTGAGGAAGGCCCACCTCAAGCAGAGGGAAAGGAAAGGGTGGAGAGGAGAGAGGGTTGGCTGAGACAAAGATGAAGGCCAAACTGGTGCCTTGTGCTTTCACTGCTTCCTCTCCATCCCTCACTGAATTCCCTGCCTCCTTCCCTGCATGTATAAAGAGCTCATTTTTGTGTACAATTGTTGAATATCTGGTACTGTATTTTTTTTTTTTTTTTTCTCCAACAATCGGCATCTCCCCGAGCAGGGTTACCCAAAAAAGAAAGAAAATCCTCAAAAAAAAATTATTACTTTCATCACCATTCAAACACTTTCACCACACTTCACACATTATCACTGCTTTTGCAAGCGCCAAATACAACAGTTTAGAAGCAATACATATAAAGATACACAACATATCCCTCCAAACTGCCAACATCCCCAAACCCCTCCTTTAATAAAGTGCAGGCAATTTACTCCCATTTCATGACTCAAGTCTGACTATAATGAAAATACCGGTTTCCTCCCCTTTCCCTGATCTTTCACTAAAGTATACCCTGCTCACACTCCAATAACAGATCGTCAGTCCCAAGTTCATTCGTCTCCATTCACACCTATTCAAACACGCTCATGCAAACGCTTGCTGGAAATCCAACCCCTCCCCACAAAACCCCTTACTCCCTCTTCCATTTCCAACCCTTTCGAGGAACTACCTCCTACCCCCTCTTTCCTTCCCCTATAAATTTATATGCTTTCCATGTCATTCTACTTTGATCCATTCTCTCTTGAATGAACAAAACCACCTCACAACCCCTCTTCTGCCTCTGACTAATGCTTTTATTAAACTATCACTTCACACTACTCCGAATTCCATCCACAACTCCGAATTTTTCTGCATAATATTTACACCACACATGCTCTAGACAGGACATCTCCACTGCCTGCCTCCAACCGTCTCCTCCTGCTGCATTTACAACCCAAGCTTCAAAGTCATGTAAGATTGTTGGTACTAAATACTTTTCATACATCCCTTCTTTGCCGTCCAAGATAAGGGAGACTTTTTTTTGACTCCACATAATATCTCATCGCACCACTCACCTTTTTTCCCTCTCAATTTTATGATTTACCTCAACCTACATAAATCCATCCGCCAACAACGTCAACTCCCAAGTACCAGAAAACATTCACTTCTTCCATACTCCTCCTCCCCAATTTGATTATCCAATTTTTTCTTTATCTAAATCATTTGATAACCCTCATCACCTTACCTTTTCCTATGTTCACTTTCAAACTTTCTACGTTTACACACATTCTCAAACTTCATCCACTAACCTTTTCAATTTTTCTTTAGAACTCCCATAACACAGTATCATCACAAAAAGTAACTGGTCCAATTCCCAATTGAATTTGATTCCCCAGAATTTAAATCCCATCCCTCTCCCAACACCCTAGCATTACTTCTTTTACAACCCCACTATAAATATATTAAACAACCATGTGACATTACACATCCCTGTCTAAGACCTTACATTTAACCGGAATATTTCTCCCTCCTCTTCTACACACCTAACCTGAGCCTCACTATCCTCAAAAAGCTCTTTTAAACATCATTTAGTAACTTACCACCTATTTTTCCCAATAACTTGCAACAACTGCCACATTGCTCCTCATCCACTCTATCATATGCCCTTTTCTAAATCCATAAATGCAATAAAAAGTTCCTTACCTTTATCTAAATACTGTTCACATATAATGCTTCTATGTAAAACCACTTGATCTACACATCCCCTAACCCACTTGAACCTACCCTTCTCATCCGCAATCCTACATTCTGTCCTTACCTCTAATACTTTCAGTTATAACCTACCGAATACTTTTCCTGGTATACTCAGTAAACTTATTCCTCTATAATTTTTACAAATCTCATTTGTCCCCCTTCCCTTTATAATAAAGGGACTATAATACATGCTCTCCGCGCCACCCTAGTACCTCCCCTCTTTCCATACATATATTAACAAAGTACCAACCACTCCCAACACTATATCCCACCCCCATGCTTTAACATTCTGTCATATCCCATCATTCCAGCTGCTTTACCCCCTTTTCATTCTACGTAATGCCTCACTAAACCTCCACCACACTTACATTCCTCTTCTTCACTCCTAAAAGATGTATACCTCCCTGGCCTGTGCATGAATTACAGCCTTCCTTTCTTCCTCAACATTTAAAAAGTTCCTCAAAAATATTCTCTCGCCATCTACCTAATACCTCCCTCTCTTTTCCATCTACTAACGTCCCCTACTCTGTTTTTACTGACAAATCCCGTCCTTTCCCTAGGCTTTCTAACTTGTTTAAGCTCACTTCTTCCTTCCAAAATTTATTCTTATTTTCATTAAAATTTCTTTCTTGACAGGTGCCTCTCCCACTCTTTTCCATCAGCTCTCCTTTTGCTACTCTCTCACCACTCTCATCACCTTTCTTTTACTCTCCATATACTCTGCTTCTTCTTATAACACTTCAGCTTTGTAAAAACCCTCTCGTAAGCTACATTTTTCTCTTTATCACACCCTTTACTTCATCATTCCACCAATCACTCCTCTTTCCTCCTGCCCCCTCCCTCCTATAACCACAACTTCTGGCCCCACATTCTAATACTGCATTTTTAAACTATTCCAACCCTCTTCAATCCCCCACTACTCATTCTTTGCACTAGCCCACCATTCTGCCAATAGTCGTATTTCTTATAACTCCCCGAACTTCCTCCCCCTTAGTATTATAACACTTTCACCTCCCTCTTACTTGTTGTTGCCACCTTCCTCTTTTCCCATCTACCTCTTACTCTAACTGTAGCTACAACTAAATAATGATCCGATATATCAGATCATTAATCAGATCATTAATTAATGTTGTGTTAGTGATTGGGTAGGCAAGAGAGAGGTCAGTCAAAATGGAAGAGGTGGATGGGAGGAGAACCCAGGAGGGATGTTGCTGTTCACAACATGTTCTTTAATTGGCCAAGGTGCAATACTCTTCATCTGTCTTCACACACTACAGTACACTCACACACACACCTACCCACCCTCTCACATTTGCCCTCCCCCTCAACGTGAGAAATAAAACTGTACTAAATTGTCCATTACAAGCATTAAATTAATGTAATAAAATTAGAAGCAAATATTTATAACTTGCTGCAGATATTTGTAACTTTGCCTGTAAGTGTAACAGGTGCCAGAATGGTGATTATCACAGTGAATGATAAGGAGTGGTACATTTCCAGGGGATGGTTCCCTAGTGACACCTGCTGTATCTAAATATCAAAGATGCAATGAAATCCTTGTACCATATGTAGAATATCAATCGGAATATTACCAGAATGAGAAATCTGTGACGTAGTTTGCTAGAAGGCTGTATGCATCCATATTGAGGCCCTTCATCATAGAGTTCTCCTGTTGGATCATACGTTGGCACGTACCTGAGAAATGATAAATGTAATTTATGACAGGAAGTCACAGTATGCCTACTTCTACTACATAAAGAACAAGTTTTTCTCGGGATGTACATGCCAACACTTACTAAATTAACTTTGGTATTAAAAAATTATGAGACTTACATTATCTGTAGAAGAGCTGAAAATGCTTGTTGCACTGTTGCAGGTGACAGTTGTCAACTGCTTGCATTAAGAACCAAATTTTTTTGAGGGAAAACATGTATTACTGAATGTAATGGCATTTAAGAAAATGCATATACTCTAACAAAGTGGAGGTGTGGTGTGAGTATAGTCAAAGACGTGAACCACCAAGAAAATACCTAAATTACTTATTGTATACAAATACATACCAGAAATTCAGAATCTAACACTTGTGAGAACTAGAAACCTCATTTTGGTAGTCAGGACAATGATAGTGTCATTTAGTTAAAGGATTTATATTTTCTCTCGGATTCTGTAAGGAAAAATTTTTTTTATATTTTAATTAGCACTGTATAGCCCTTGTGGTTTAGCACGTGTCTTTTTGAAATAAAATAATAAATTTATATATAATATCTCCTCTTCCAAGGGGCTCCTTGCGTGGTGAAGAGGCTTCTTGGTCTGAGAAATACCCTATCGTCTTCTTTTCTTTCCTCTGACCGAACCTAATTACCCCCCAATCTCCCCTCCCCCTATTCCCATCCTTCCTCACAAAATTTCCTCTCCCTTTTTCCTTTCCTCCTCCTCCTCCCCACTCCTCCCTTTTGCCCTTCCTCTTTTTGTCTTTTGTCCTTTGGGATTTCTCCCACAGGCGCGAGCTAAAGTTCCTTAGTTAGGAAAAAGACACCGGGTCCATCCCAATCCGTTGAGGTTTCTTGTTTGGCGGTGGCGTAAGTTTGCCGTGGAACTGGATTGCCTAGGGATGTCCCCTATCCCTCTCCCGGTATCCCGGAGTAACTTTGGGTGTCTTTTGGGCGACGGGGTTAGCTCTGGAAGCCACCTTTCGTATTCCGGGGTGGTTGCTGAAGGATGTTATGCATAGTGGCGGATATCCTGTACCCGCCCTCTCTTTTGTCCCACCGAGGTAGCTCGGCAGATGTGAGGTTGCTAATCCCAGATTGCTGGTTATACTGGCATGAAGGGTAGGTATGGCATCCGGGGTCCATGCTGCATCTCGCTACTAGCGGTGTCGAGTCCTCTTGGCGCGAGGGAATTTCTGGCCCTTTTCATCCTCCCTCCTAGGAACTATCCCTCCCCGTCCCCGAGCTCAGTAATTTTTTTCTTTTTTTTTTATTTTTATTTTTCTTTTCTCTTTCTTTTTTCTAAAAAACAAAAAGACAGATAAAACTAACCATGGGCTGCCCTATCCACATCGGATCCTAACTTGGGACCCCCCCCGGGCCCCCTCTTCTTGATACCCGCACCCCTGTTCTGACCTTCGCCTCGTCTTTGTACCACATCTTCAGACATTCCCTCATGCCTCTGTAACCTATTGCCGGTGCTGTTGCCTCACCCGCTCAGGTACTGAGTCGCCATCGACGACTCCTTCGATTTATCAACCTTCGGCTCTCCTCTGACTATTCTTCCGGCCTCTCCCTCTAACGTGCGGCAATTTTCAAATCGCCGACCCGTTCCACGTCGGACCAACTCTGTCCCACGCCTAAAGTCAACACAATTTACCTGCTGATATTACTTCTCCACCTTTCACCTTCTCGTTCTTCTCAGAAATCGATCGACAACGTTCCTTGCACTAACCTTTCCACGCTCAGTTTCAAACTGAAACATTGGACTAAATTCTTCACTTTAACGACAACGTCCTCTACTGCCTATCTTTCTGACCATAGTTTGCAAGGCACTCCTAACCCATTTGTAAACGATATTTCTTTTTCAGCTCTTAAGAAGCGGTACGCGCATCATTACCGTACAGCAAAAAAAATGGGGCTACCCAGGCCTCGTGAGCTCCTCTCGTCTTACCGCATATAATACTGTTCCTGTCACCCCTTGAAAAACATCATTCCCTCTATTCTTGTAGTGGTTACCGTTATTCTGCCCCATACCATAGTTTTTCAACAAAATTTCCAGACCATGTGGCAACCGACATTCTAGAACACTGGACTCCAAGATCTCCCAAACCTCAAGGTAGACACTTACGTTCTTCCTGCCCGTGGGCGGAGACGATAACCCCTAGCAATGTGGCTCGTATAATCTTTTGACAGCCGAGAACTCCATACTCTCCTTTATATAGCAGACAGCGTTTACAAGTCGAAAGGTGATCCCTACACCACAACAGTGTAGAAATTGCTGGCGATTTGGCCATCCAGCGAAAATTTTGCAGATCTATCGCCGAATGCCCAGTCTGTGGTCCGATGACCATTCTAATACGTCTTGCAATCGATCTTCCCTCTTGCCTTAACTGTCCATGAGGCTCACCCTTCGTACTCCTCGCGCGTTGTCAGTCCTATTTAAAAAAACGACGGGAAAATCCGTTACCAACAAAGAGACAGAAGGACCTCCCTTTATGCCATGCAGTTTCTCATCTCCGCCTCCAAGGAGACTCCCACGTGTTTCTATTCCCGGTGTTTCAAAACGTCCCCCCACTTCTGGTATCCCCACTTCTACAACCCACCTCTGGGCTTACCACTCCCTATAAACACTCCTGTATCTAATCCTTTTGCTGTCCTCCACGGCTCAGATGTCCCTACTTCAAACCCTCAGTCTAATCCTCCGGCTTCTTCGAGTTCCTCTTACAAGCCTCAGTATCGACGACGAGACCTCGTACGACACTCTTCCCAATCGTCCCTCTACTTTCTCAAAAGAAAAGTCAAACAAGGTCCGGAACACCTCCTACCCATCTTCCACCTCCATTTATACCACCCTGTCTCTGTCCCTAGATCTTCCCTCTCACAGGCTCAGTATACAAAGTGCAGAGGTTCACCTCCCTCCTCGTAATGTACCTTCCTCCCCTGTTTCCCTCCCATTTTCCATTCCTCATCTGGCCACCTCCCAGGTACCTGTCTCTTCTGTCCCACTGCCACGCTTCTCCTGTCCCTCCACCCTTCGCCCCCCCTACCTTGGTACAGGTCCAATACAGTTCCAAATCTTTACTCATCCTCCCCTACCATCCAATATTGTCTCCCAACGACATCTCTGAATTCGAAACACTTGAACAATCTCTGAATATTTGCATAGACAAACCATCAATGGACACTGATCCACCTTCCGCTCTTCTCTCTCCTCGCTCCATCTGCGCAACTCCTTTCTTCACAGCGCACCGTTCTTCGCTGCTGAACATATTTCACTGCCTCCCATGTGGACTTTTTTCTAACCCTCTAGTCGTAGAACCCTTACGCTCGGATATCAAGTATCTTACATGCCAATCAAGGCCCTTTTTACAGTGGAATATACCGGCCTCAGGGGTAATCGGGTGAGCTTCAGATGTTACTCTCCCAGTTGCCCCTGTTGGTGTTTGCTAAGCAGAACCAAAAATTACACTCTGCTGTTAATTTCTCACATCTCATGCTATAATTTATTGTATTTCTTCCAGATCCTTTTCCTGATGGGAAGACCTTTCATAAAGTGCCCTTTCTTCTCCGCACAGATATTTCCGTACCATCAGCTATTTGTTCATACTTCGCTGCATACACAGCACCCATCCCTTATCATAAGTGGTATAACGCCTCTGTTCTTATATCCTCTCTCCTACTCGGCCATTATCAATTCCGATTTTGCCTTCCATTGATTTCGTCATTATTACCGCCACCGACCGATTCTGTTACTTGGTGATTTTAATGCCCACCATTTTCCTCTGGGGAGGGTCTCACAGTATTCCCGTGGAATTCAGTTAGAGCTTTTCTGCCACCCCACCCCCCCTCCAATGTTTAAATACAGGTACTCAACACCACCCATTTTTGATCCTCGGACTCATACTCTCTCTTGCATCGATCTCTCATTTTGCTCTTCCTCCGCCGCATTAGACTTTACTTGGTCTGTTCTCCCGGACTTACATGACAGTGATCATTTCCCAAACATTCTTACTTCCCTTCATATTCGCTCACCTCTTCGCACCCCTACCTGGCAATTTTAATCGTCAAATTGGAACCTTTACCTTCACACCTGACGGTTTTTTTAAAAGAGGTACCCTTCTTCGTCCTCCATCGAGAGCATTTACAACCTCTTCTCGTCTCCCGTTTTCAACCGCAGATTCTCATTCTATACCCAAACATCGGGCCAGCATTTCTCCAAAATCTGCCTTGTGTCTCCTGCTGTGCTCGTGCATACGTTTGAAACCCTGCATGGGCAGGTAACCGGTAACAATAGAACCACAGAAGCGACTCCTTGATTTTAAACAGAAGCTTGCGATCGCTCGCCGAGTCATCCGTGACGCTAAACGCACTTGCCTGGCGAGATTTTGTCCCACCATTCACCTCTGCTTCCTTCTATGAAGTGCAGTCTGTAAAAAAGTACGAAAACTGAAGTGTAATAATCTCCTGACCCTCTCCAGTCTGCGGGTTGCCGTGTTGAAATAGCAAACCTCTAATTTCCAATGAAATTGGCATCACTTGTCGTATTTCACAGGGACTCCATCTATGCCCCTCATTTCTTTCCTCAAAGTCTGCCAAGAGAGTTAGCAACCATGTACTTTTCTTCTCTCAGAGAAAACATATAATGTGCCTTTTACCACTTCAAGAACTGGAGGCAACACCTCTCAGCTTGTCGATCATCGGCAGCTGGCCCTACGACATTCATATTCGTATGCTACAACCTTTTAACATCATCAGATCCCTTGCAGTCCTATTACACCCTTTACAATCTTATTTGGTCACAAGGAGTTCTCCACAGCTGTGGAAATCCGCCATTGTTCTCCTTTCCGCAAACCAACAGCACTACGGACATGAAACCTCCCACTATCGTCCCATTGCTCTTACCAGTGCAGTTTGCAAAGTATGGACGTCTATAATAGACGTTTAGTGGGTATTGAGAGACACACAACACCCTCATTCCCACTC